GTCAACTTAAAATGGCAAACAAAAATCACATATATTCCATATATTTAGGATTATTTATATTACATATGTTTAAGATTTATTATTTTTTTTAAATCCTCTAAATATTCCAGAAATTGCATGCAAATCTTGTTGGAACACTGTTTATACCTGTAAAATTAACTTAAAGAAAGCAAAAAAATTTAGGTAACAATTTGGCTTCATTTATTTTGTAAAAAAAAAAACAGGAGAAAAATGTATTTTGGTATTTTGCTAAAATGAAATGTTCATGGTCAAACACCTTTCTTTTCCTAGTCCCCCACCTGCACGAAACCATTAACAAGTAAATGGGAATATACTTAATTGGGGTGTAAATAATTCTGGGACACATACAGTATATATTTTACAAAGAAAAGCTGTGTGTTTGCAAATGTTTCTTCTCAGTTCTTCGCAGATTTTTTTCTTTGTTAAAATTATGAGCAAAACAATCAAGATTTTTTTTTCACAGAGTTCTTTGCTCATATTTACCAAGGGAGCCAATATTTTAAGAAGGGCCCTGTATTTGCTTCCCGGGCTTGTTAGGGTTTTTTGTAAATTATAATTATTATTTTTCTCTCTAGGCTGTGTCATTATTTATTAAAGAGCGCGCAGCTACACAGTTTGAGTATTTGATTCTGGATACGATCATGCTTACCAGCTTACTGCGGCACATTCACTCAGAATGACTGGAGGATTTGACTTCATTCTGGCATGATGTGTCTCTCTGGACTTATGAATGTTATTCCCTGAAATTTCCAGAACAATCCATAAAGAGCATTTTTTTTTCATCGTAGCATGACACGTATAGTATGTGCAGCTGTAAAGTTTTAGTAGAACATGGCGCCTATAAAATCATGAGGTGTTTTTAAAGCTAATGGTAGAGGTGCTTGTCCTCAAGAGGGCGATGTTTCAATTAAAAAAGCGGTTTTCAAAATCCCTTTAAATCCATGTGCTTAAATTGTACGTAGAAGTTTCTAAATAAATGTTACATACATTGGCTGTGTTTGGAGTGGGATACTAGCTTACAGTACGCTGAATCATGTGGAGTATGAAACAATAGTAGTGAAACAGAACGCTTTATGTAACAGCAAATTTTTAAGGAGTCTTATGCTTTTTGTACCTTCAGCGTAATGTTTTTAAAGCTATTCTCACAGCACATCATTAAGCACTGTTCGTGAAACGGCTCAATTGTAAACTGTTTTCCTTAGTTTAAAGGGTCACGAAACACCAAAACACATTTTTTGAGCTGTTGACAGTCGTATATGTGTCCCACACTGCTAAAAACACTACTAGGACACCTATATTTCACTAAAAAGTGTAAATTGGTTGTTTTTGCGTTATTTCAAGCAAATTCGTATTTCCGGTTTGAAACTAATTTTTGAAGCTGCGTCACGGTCATGACATAATAGCGTTGTATTCCAGCGTGCAGACTGGGCGTCTGTGCCAGAGTGGGCAATAACTTACGTGTCTAAGGAGGATTATTGTTTACCTGAGAGCTGTTCTTATCTGCAAATGCTGAGATCCGGATTCGCTTGTAGTCTCCTCTAAATAAAGACGCGGCTCTAGTTGCTGGTGATTGTCCTGTCTCTACAGATTTGGTAAGTGAGCGACCAGTGCTCTTTGTTTATTCAGTTTGTTCGTATCAAACTAAGTTAACTATTGCACCGAGTGTAAACATGTTAGCACCACAACCAAACTTTAACCTCGTGTAGGGTTTTTACCGCATTTTGTGACTGGAATAACACACGCGGCTTTCTGACGCTACCTGCCGTGTGCATCTAAGTTTCCTGGAAATGCGGAGGTTTTTTTCTCTCATTCGCCGTGCGGTATCAAACATTGCTTGAAAAAAACAGGCTTAGAGCAGTTCCTCGAATCAAATATCTCGTTTGTCGCGAGGGGCATGAATGAATTCCCTGAATCAAAGAGCCAAACTGCAGTTAAAGTCCAACATTTAATAATTTGGCAAATAATTCGACTACAGATGTCCATGTAGGTTAAACACCATCACTTTCTCCTGTGTGTGTACTTTGACTCTGAAACTCAGCGCGCCCAAATAGACACTCCCATACCATCCCACTTTAGTTCCTCCGACACTCCCCCCTAAACAGAGCTGGACACGCCCACTTTTCTGACTTTTTCCAAAGTAGAGGTGTGAAAACACCCTGCTGAAATGAGGGGGTTTCATGGCCCTTTAAATAATTCCCTGGCCGAGTTGTGTTTGCTGTGTGTTTCACAGATCCAATGTAGTGATACACATGCAATTGGTTTCATTAACATTTACAGGCATAACCACCATGCGAATGTGTGTGTGTGCATTTGAATTGTATGTACAGTATTTAAACACAACTGCTGTGAAGGAGAAATTAGTTTAATGCTCACATGGTACACCATTCGACAGTGTGTATATCCAATGCAATCTTACAGCAATTCGTAACTTTTTGATTTAGTGGCTAATTCGTATTAATTTGTACGATATAATTTGTACAATTTAGTTTGATTTGCTTTTCCCCCAATGATGGTTGGGTTAAGGGCTGGGGTTGGGTGCCACGCCTCCTTTTTAAAATCGTACATTTTCATATGAATGAACTCGTACAAATTCGAACGAATTAGCCACTAAACTGCAAAATGTAAAATACTAATGTTTTCTCATTAGATCTGGCTGGTATTATTATTTATAAATAGTTTTTATATATATATACGCACACAAAACTGACAAGTTATAAGTTTAAACTGACAAGGTTTTGAAACGTGCTAATGTTCTAATGTTTTGTTTGTTAGTACAAGAGTAACTGAGGCACAAGCTGTAAAGGCTCCGCCTTCCTCTGGAAAGGGGGCGGGGAGCTGCAGCTAATTTGCATTTAAAGAAACACACATAAAAGAGCATATTTTCAGCACGACTTTTACAGCATGGTACAATAAATAAATGATCTATAAGATATTTTGAAATAAAACTTGAAAACAGTGGTCCCAACATTAATATCACCATGGACTGCTCAATGGTTGATCATTTTACAGCAGTTCGAGTGAGAAAAAAAAAATCAAACACACTAACATTTGGTAGTCAAAAAGCACTAAACTTGCATCTTTATTCATGACACTAAAAAATAATGGTCAAATTAAGCACAATGCATGGATATATTTTGAATACTGCATATCTTGATACATAATTCGGGTTTTTCACAAATACTGTACTAGTGAAATAGTAATGATAGTATTCATCTCTGAACACAGCCATTGCATTACACTGTTCATCAAAACATTCATGAGGTACTACCAAATCACTGTATCATGTTTTATAAAGTTTATGTGAAAATACTGATACATTTTTTTTGCATTATATGTATGATATAAACGGCCAAAAACAATCATTTTTGTCATTTGTATCTTTGTATCACTTGAGGTCTGATGTAATGGTTGCTTTTTTCACCTTCATACACACGGACTGAAAGCACATTTGAGCTCAAACTGTATATATATATAAAATCAAGCACACAAATCTTCACTTTTTTTTGCATTGACAACGTTTATTACTCCATTATTGTAATATAACAAAATTCTCACCCTTTTAAATTGAGTGGGAAAAATACATTCTTAATATTTTTTTTATTTAAATTCCTTATAAATTCAGTACAACAAATATATCAATTGATTTATATTTCACACATTTATTACACAGTTTTATTATCATATTATTATTTTTGCATTAATGAGATTTGTAGAGTCAAAATAATCAGTGGCCTAATTATTACAATATTAAATGTTTAACATTTTGTGTGTAAAATATGCCTCTTTCTTGTAGTTTTTATGAGAATTGCTTATAATTATTTATTCATTAATACATTTTATTTTTGGCTTAGTCCCTTTATTAATCTGGGGTCGCCACAGCGGAATAAACCGCCAGCTTACCCAGCATATGTTTTACACAGCGGATGCCCTTCCAGCTGCAACCCATCTCTGGGCAACATTCATACATTCGCATTCACACTCATACACTACGAACAATTTAGCTTACCCAATTTCTACCGCATGTCTTTGGACTTGTGGGGGAAACCGGAGCACCTGGAGGAAACCAACGCGAACGCAGGGAGAACATGCAAACTCTACACAGAAACACCAACTGACCCAGCCGGGGCTCGAACCAGCGACCTTCTTGCTGTGAGACAACAGCACTACCTACTGCGCCACCTCTTTACCCCATACAATTATTTAAGCGTTATAAATGTAAAGATGCAATAGGTGATTGCGTTCAGAAACATTTTTTGTTGTCCAGGTTGAAAGTCTCTTCACATTCCAATAGTAATGATTAAAGTAAATGATCTAAATGTATTTGTATGTATTTTTATATTCTGCGTAAGGCATAAGATGTTTATCCAATTAAAAATTTTCAGGCCAATAAGTCCCATACCCAAATCCCATAACATTGTGTTAAGTAGCCCAAACTGTCAACAAATGTAGATTTGTACATCTGCACAGCGGTAAAAATTAACGCTGAATCAAAAATTGCTAAAATACTGAATCAATATTAAAAAAATGAAACAGACTGAGATGTTTTACATAAAATCATAGAGTATATTTGACGA